CCAGCAGTGACACGAACGAGAGACATTGCAGGGCTGCGCCTTCACCAGATTTTATCGGTAAGTGCACTTGCCTGTATCTGCGACCTTTACTTGTTTTTTTTGTTACTTGTTACCTAACTAATTCCATTACATAGCGGTTCAAGTTGCAAGTTAATTTAGTTTGGCCCTGTGAGAACCACGGTGACCTGCGTCACCAAACGAACGACAGGGCACACACACGAAAACAAAACCCTGCGTCTTTCATAATTATATATAATCTGATAATAGTTTGTTTTACCATTTAATCTGGCAACAAAACTGACACCTTTTTTTTACTGGCAAATGAGGTACCAATGGTGTAAATGCTTACCCCGAGCTCTCATACTCTGATGGTACATTGTCTTTGAGTTGTGCGCCTTTTGGCGTCATCTGGTCCAACCCATGTGAGACTAGGCTCTAAGGAAAGCTGTCTCGGGTGTGGACCAATCAACTTCAAGGACAGTGCATACATTTTCAGAGTTATGTTTTTGTTTGCATTATGACTACAGGTATTGTGGTATATGCAAACATAACTCCTCGTAAAAGAGGTGTCAGTTTTGTTGCCAGATTAAAGGGTAAAAAAAACTATTATCAGATTATATATAATTATGAAAGACGCAGGGTTTTGTTTTCGTGTGTGTGCCCTGTCGTTCGTTACTGGCAAATGCGGTACCAATGGTATATATAATCTGTTTGTGTGGGACCATTGATGTGACTAATGAGCGGGGACCATTGTCTCACGTAACCACCGAGCTCGTACCAGCGCCTGGACGAAATGTGCCACTGTTTAGAGATACATCATGATTATAAGCATCATCATAATTGATCATAAATTAATATATAATATTTGACAGCAAAACAAACCTGTTATGGTAATATTATGGTATATTAAGAAGTTTGTTATTGGGAAAGAATTTGCAATGACGTGTTTTTTTATTTCAACTTAACGCCCTTTGTCCATCAACTGCTGGATGAAGGCTTCTCAATGTCGTATCGGTCATGGAGATAATTTTACTAATTCATTGAGGGTTTGTAAAGTTGTGTGGGGGGGGACGGGAACAACAGCGCCTCCGATATCGCCAGGCATTAATGTTAGCCGTGCCCGGATGGCCGGGTTCACACACATACATATATAGCGCAGTTCGCTAAGCACTGCGCCACCGCTCCTCACTCGTGCGGCGTCATACGCAGGCACGATCAAAACAAGCCACTGTTATTATGGACTTCAAAACCATGACTCTTGCGGAATTTCATGCAGATGTTTTTCTGCACGTGTGCAGCGCCTTGGCAATTCACCGCTAGATGAGGGCCTAGAAATCCTTGCTCACGCCGTGCTGGTCGTGGGTCGTAATTTGACCATACTTCACCATTCTGGTTCATAAGGTTTGACGCAACGGTGGGTGTGGGCAATAGACGGCAGGGAACACGGTGAGCAGCAGATGGCAGTGCAGCAGTTGGTCACTGCATCGATACTAAAGAGCATCGCTACGCAGCGGGACGGATATGTGGAGGTGCATGTCAGTATGTCTGCGTATTTATTTTGTTGCCTCTATCTGTGCGGAGCGTGCAGTGTTGTCGTTGGGTTTTCCCCAGATTTCCTAGGTACATTTCCACACGCGCACAGCCAAACACTCATTCATGGAATTGACCCTCCTGAAAATGTGTTCTGAAACTCGGTCAGAGTTTCCTGAGTGAATTAAGGTTGTTGTTTTTTCTTATTTTAAGGCGGTCGATGGAACGCACCCAGAGAGCCCATCCACCCCGGAGATGGAGCGATGAAATCGGCTCGCCCGCGTGTAGGTGCTACGACGATGTGGATTGTCTCATTGCGGGGGAGAGCGTCATCCACCAGCGAGATAGATCATGGCTGTTGATGATTTCAGTGTCCGAACACGTGCCGCAGGCTATGGGCGGTGTACGGGCGTGAGCGCCACGTGACAGAGGCCACCTCACGAACCAGCCCCCCACGATTCACGGGCAGAGCTGAGCGCCGCCTCTCGTCTCGTTGAACGCACCTCACTGTCCGCTGTGCTGCTCTACGCGCTCGCAACACCCCCACACACGACCGCGTTCACTCGCCAACTCGCGCAGTGACGAGTCAAATGTCGCCCGCGATTCTGCCCTTGCTCTATTACTATAGTGCTATACTGCCTTCAACTTGTATGAACGACTGGGTGTTTAAGGTTAGCGATGTGTCGTATTATCTGGCTGTAGAGCAAATGAAAAAATAAAATTACTTTACTATGCAAGTTAAAAAAATTGTGTTTTAATAATTGTTTTTTTTTTTATTAGGGCCCCTTTATAACATCTGCTACAGACGCCGCACTAGCTTAATCCGGCACCTCCTCGATGCCCCCCCCCACCCGCCGGGAAGGGAGTTTCACAACAATTGTGCGGTGAATCGCAACCCTCGGTGGTGGCTCCACAAGTGCTGGATTACAATGCGAATGACGAAGTAAGTCGTCCTCCCTGAACACACTCAGGCGTGTTCCGTAAGGAGACCATTCCACGCCGAATGTTCACGCTGTGGTTTGCGTCTTATTCTAACCTTCTGCTGCAGATGCAACTAATGCGCTCGTGAATGCGGTGCTGTTTCCTTTTTAAATCCTTTATATTAAGTTCGCTTGCTTGCTTGCGTGCTTGCTTGCTTGCGTGCTTGCTTAGGACCGTGCAAATCTTTCGGTCGTTTGTTAACCCACTTCCCGTGATCCAATCGAGCTGACATTTTCCACACAGACTCGTTGTGCGAGACAATTAATGTTCGTAAAAAAAATTCCCCAAATTTTACACTGTTTAGGGAAAACATATTAAATATTTTATTACCAATTGCTTAATACTGGCAGACAATCATCTGACCCATAGGTGGCAGCCATCTCAAGCCAGAGGACGAGAAGACTCTAGCCGCCACGCATATAAAGGATTTATAGTAAAAAACTTTGTTTTTACGGGTTTACTTGTTAAATCCTTTATATTAAGTTCGCTTGCTTGCGTGCTTGCGTGCTTGCGTGCTTGCTTGCTTGCTTACGACCGTGCAAATCTTTCGGTCGTTTTTTAACCCACTTCCCGTGATCCAATCGAGCTGACATTTTGCACACAGACTCGTTGTGCGAGACAATTAATGTTCGTGAAATTTTTTCCAAAATTTTACACTGTTTAGGGAAAACAAATTAAATATTTAATTACCAATTGGTTAATACTGGCAGACAATCATCTGACCCATAGGTGGCAGCCATCTCAAGCCAGAGGACGAGAGGACTCTAGCCGCCACGCATATAAAGGATTTATAGTGAAAAACTTTGTTTTTACGGGTTATACTTATTTTGGAATCGTTTGCGCAACACGGTTGGCCCCTAGCTCTCATTAAAATAAATTCGGTTTCGATACTGCGTTGGCAGCGGTGCACAAGCACAATGTAACATTTTAATCAAGAATCCTGCCAACAGTGGCATGGGAAACACGCAATGGGCGACGTTTGGGGCGATTGTCTCTCTTCCTAGCAGAGAGATGCCTTGGGGTCTGACGTCTTTGCTGCGTCGTGAGAGATGGAGGCTGCGTGGGAGAGACCTTCATCGCGAAATGGGGTCGTGTTGGTGACGAGTTTGTCTTTTTATTTTACGAAAAAAGATGTTGGAGACATAACGGGTTGAGAGATGATCCAGGAGACGGCTCGGAGTGGCCTTCATCCAGCAGTGGGTTGATCATGGCTGATGATGACAACAACAACAACCATTCGCCACTAATTGGCGGTTACATCACCACGGCGTTTGTGCCAGGCGATGTGCACGTTGAGGCGACGCGAAGTGTCGCTGATGACACACACACACACAGAGACACTTGGGAAAGTTCATTCGCCAAAAAAAGCACGGAACACCACTTATTCATTTGATGAACATTGTTTAAAACATCACCGATTCGTGTTTACGGCTGCGGGAAAGCGCTGAAGCAGCGAATGTGCGGGGGTCTAACTCGCGTTGCGGAAAGGTGACACAAACAGGGGCTTGTTTTTCTGACCCGCGGTGCGTGCTGAGAACAACAGCAGCGATGGCACTCCCCACTCACCCCAACACACCCCCACCCGCTCACTCGTTCGCTCACCCGCTCACTCGTTCGATCACCCGCTCACTCATTCGCTCACCCGCCCACTGCCTCGTTCACTCGCCCAACCCACCCTCTCTCATGCACTCACCCGCCCTTCCCCCTTGTCCTTCCCCCGCACCTCAGATTAGCACGGTTGGCTGTGTACGGTGCGAAAGAAGTTCAACATACATTCGTTCGCCCACCCATTCCCTCATTCACTCACCCATTCACTCTTTCATTCACCCACTCACTCACTCACTCATTAATTCACTCACCCACTCAATAATTCACTCACCCATACTCACACATCCATCCAGCAGCTCAATCACTCATTCACTTACCCACTCACTCAATTCACTCACCCATACCCGCACATCCATCCAGCCGCTCATTCACTCATTCACTCACCCACTATTCACTCATTAATTCACTCACCCATACTCACACATCCATCCAGCCGCTCAATCACTCATTCACTCACCAACCCGACAATGCACTCACTCCTCGAACCTTTTTATTCTATCGCTATCCCAGTCATATTCGCCAAACTGTTGGGGCAAGTGCTGTCAACGAGCGCCTAACGACGGCCAGCATGGCACACGAGGGGGGGGGGGGGTGGTGGTCAGCACCACGCACAGCCCCCTTTGCATCCCCATCCACACCTGGAACTCCTTTGAGGCCGAGTCAACCTACAAAGACAAAATTCCCCCGTATAACCCGAACAGACTTTCGTGGCAAGTGCCGTTAGCGAGCACATAACGAATGCCGGCACGGCACACGAGTGGATGAGTGACCAGCACCAGCCCCCTTTGTCTCTCCAGTGCCTGATGTGTGTGTGGGCTGGGGGCGGGATTGTTACACACCACACCTGTTACTCATTTGAGGCTGAGTCGACCTACACGGACACACGCACTCCACGCATGCCGCCCGGAGGCGTTGTCCGCGATCTCGCGTCTGATTGGCTGCGCGACGGAGCCGCACCCCCGCGCCGCGGCTTAAGAGGCGGCGCCTCAGAGCAGCCGACTCCACGTGCTGAACGCTCCCTCCGCGTCGTCGTTCATTGCGCTCTCGTCCCCGCTCATCTCGCCCGCTCATCACGCAAATACCGAGGTGGGTATCAGCTACTGTCGTCTGCCTGCCTGACTGTCTGTGTATTGCATACAGCCCCACCCACCCTGCTATCCAAGCGAGCTTGCGTTATGTGTTGCATTGGTGGGACCGCATGCGTAATTAATTGATCAATATTGTACGAGCTTGACGACCTAAAGTTTTGTATTGCGTTGTGGTGGAAGATTGTAAGGTCGTCGCCGTCGGCAACAGCGGTAGCAGTCGTGATCTGTACACTGCTAGATGTAGGCCATCCCCCCCCCCCCCGTCTCCTGGTCTTTTGATGCAACAATCCATTTGCCCTTGGAGCAACGGGGTTGTTTTCATCGCTCCATCTCCGCAGTGGACGTACTATTGGCGCGTTCCTCTCTTGGGGCTGCCGTTCCGTCGTTCGTCTCGACCAATGGCCATAGCCACCCCTTCTGAGTGCAGTGTCCTGCCCAAAGCCAACTTTGCTTTTCCATACAAATGTGTTGTCCTTCCGCCGTCACCTCCGATTAACACGGTTGCCTACGCACGGGTGTGGGGGGGAAGACGCTCTATATTTAAGTTTAACTTATTAGGTATCACCCTGTGAGCCATGTGGCTCTTGACTCGGGTGCAACAAAACAAAAACACGCCGTGAGCACAACTTGAGTACGCGCTCTTATCCACGTGTTCATCCTTTTTGTCTCTGCGCGTCCACGTGCTTCTTTGTTGCCACCCTTCGCCCGTTGTGCCCAAATTTCCTTCGGGCGCATCGAATCAAGATCGACCGCCCAGGCTTCGTCTGTCTGGTTTCACCAATCACAAAAAAAACGAGTTGATGTTGTCCATCCACCTTTTGACAATTTCCATACAGGCCGTGTCTGCAAATAGTCGTTCTCACGCTGTAGCCGATGCCTCTACCGCACACGATGTTAACCGTCTGCATTGCGTCGAGCAATCTGAATTCGCACAGTAATTTACGAGATTTATTCGAATTCTTAGCCTGCTCGTAGCCTCCTCGCCACCGAAGTGACACTACGAGAATGATCATTGTTACGTAGTCTTGAAACGTAGAGTCCTACTGCCCTGGCGTCTCGACCACAAACTTCGCCACCTCGGTCGGCAAGTGGAGTTAAAGGGAGTCGCGCGAATCGAACTGCTCGCTCGCGCGGGTTGTCTTTTGTCTAAGCAACAGTTTGGGGGGGCATCGGGGCTATAATCCACGCGTCGTTGGCAGATGTTTCATTTCTCGTTCGATATTTGAATCACAGTAGCCCCGGCTCTCGCATAATATCCGTGATGCAGTCATTTATAGTCTGTTGATGGTCGGCGATGCGGCAATCGACTCATCTCGACGAGCTGTACACGATGCACCACCACTACGGTGCGTACCGCGAGCGTTCAGGGTCTCGGCGCAATCGTCCTCGCTGCGTTGCGACATCGCGGAGTGTGGCACCGATTTCGGATCGAGTGCTACCCGCAGTCGCGGAGCTAAGTACACCCCTGTGAAACAAATAGTGTCCCAGAAATAAAACATTGAATTGCCTCGGCCATTGTGTATTATTTTTCACCCCGGGGCACCGCCATCAGGATCACTTTAATTAGCGAAGATTTTCCGAGCCTCCCCAACCCCCACCCCCTCTGCTCCATGGCCCCACAGCAAGCGGGGTAGTTGTTTACTCGCAGTGTCTCCCCCCCCCCCCCCCCATCTTTCGGACAGTCTGTGGATCTGCCCGTAGTGTACGATGCAACGTGCATTCATATCGCGTCTTAACACGCTCTGCGGAGTTAGGTGGGGGGGGGGGGGGGTGCGTTCGTTTTGTAGAATAAGACACGGGGGTTGGTCAAATGCAACTGAATAAAGAGACGTCAAGCCGGGCGGAACCGAGAGCGCTCTTAGAACAACAGCTGGAACGATGCTTGCTGCGAGTAGCCAGCCCTCCGCGGTAGCAAGATGCATGCAAACGGCAGTACAGCAAGTAGGACGATTCTGTACGAGCTGAATGATGTAAATTTCCGTTTGGGTATCGACTATAGCGATATCACGTGGTGTTGAGTCCTCGCTGGGGCTTTGCTGAAGAAAAGAATATTGTAACGCGTGCGATCGCATTCGCAGTGCTCGTAGTGAGCTACTCCTGCTGACACGACAGACGCCTTCAAACACAGCTGCGTGAGCATCTGATGTGTGTTCCAATTCAGTGGTGTTGGTAGCCTTAGCGGAGACGACTAATCTTTAGAAACGGCCTTTCCGCGTGGGGGGACACGGGGCAGGGTGAAGATATCCCGTGCGTTGGCATTATCAAACAACGCTTATCGGTATTGGTGATTTAATTCACACGTGCATAATTTGATTCTCAATGTTGCTGATAAACTTGTAATTGAATTGCCATTGGCGTGATGGGGTAAATTCTGTGCCGAGTTAATCTCTTTAAGGGCCCGTGGGTGAGTAGACCTTCACTGCTTTGCGTTCTGTTTTCAAGCAATGTCCTGCTCAAATGAGTGCTCCTCATCCCGTTTACAGCTCAAAATCAGTTGTGGAAATTCCACATTCCTATGTCGGGCTTGCCAGTTCAAGGTATAGGACGGCGACTTGAATTCATCGCGTCGACTCACGGGAGGGTTGATGGGCCGAGTCAACCGCCCCCCAAACTAAGATTTTAACTCGCGACCTTCCAGATCGCGAGCCACTCGCCTCTACAGGCTCCGTATTGGTTGCACAAAATATGCAGCGGCAGCAGGCGGCGGCTGTGGCCGTCGCAGGAGACGCGTGGCCTTAATAGGCACTTGCTTAAATACAGCCCTGCGGGGTCGAGCATTCTGTCGAACCCCAAGAGGTCGTGACCCACAGCTGGGGTCAAGCCTTGGAGCAGAGAGGCCAGACCACGGTGCTGTTACAACATCCCCCCCCTAGGTTGGAAAGGCTGGGAACCGGCCACTTGATTTGGGCGTCTCGTTACTGTGGTGCATGGACTGGGGTTTCTATGTTGAGCAGGTGTCGTCTTATTATACAATAAGTGGTATTGGTACCACACGCACACAGATCGGCTGTAGTCAACTTTGCTGTGAGGTTGGCCGATTGAACTCCGTGCAATCTCCGCGAGGAGACATTAAATAACGAAAAATACTTTATCTTAGTGGATTCTCGCCTGGTGAGATGGAGGGATAATCCCAGAAAATAATACGTGTGGTAATGATGCATTCACATCATCGATTGATATAAATTGTTAATCTCGCAAAATGTTCGCGTCGGTTCGGGTGTGTTGTTTGTAGGGCTGAACGATTAATCGATTTCAAATCGAAATCGCCAATTAGATATTTTCCCCAAATCGTTCAGCCCTAGTTCTATGTCCAGCAGTGGCTTTGCATGACCCCTGCCCCCGGCAGAGGCGATACCACTGGACTGCCATTGTAAATAAAATAAAAACCGCATAGATTCCTGTATCAAATCGTGACTTAACTAAATTGTTGGTGGTGAGTGAAATCGTTCAACCCTAATCACGACCAAAAATAGTTCAATTATTTGAGTTGAGCAGGAGCCGGATACACCAGTCACTCGTAAATATGTGTGCATATGTACAAACGTAGACCAGTTAAGCAATACAAAAGCTTCAATAAAAATTATTAAACGGTGGTGAGCATAGCGGCCTCTAGTGGCTTGAAGAATTGCATAAAACCATTACAACATACGAATCCAAACACGTATTCTTCCAGTGCGATTCTATGCATGCACTTTCAATATTAATAAATTTGCCACCAAGTCGAGTTTTTAGTTTGTCCTTCCCCCGCACCTCCGGTTTAGCATGGTTGGCTACGTATGGTGCGAAAGAAGTTAGACAAACAACTCGCTCGCTGGCTGACAAGCGAGCGAGATACCAAATGTACACACTCACCGACCGAACCTAAAACTAACGATTGCCGGCGGTTGTCTTGACTTGATCGCAGCAGCAGCAACAGCAGCAGCAACAACAACAGCAGCAGCAGCAACAACAGCAGCAGCCATGCCCGTGATCGAGACCATCACGGTGGAAGCTCCCACCTTGGAGCAGCAGCAGGACACGGCGCAGGCGCTCAAGGGTTCGTCCCCGGGCTCCCCCACGACATCGCTGCTGCTGCCCCTGCTGCCCCTTCACGCGTGCACGCCGTTGCGCGAGAGCCTGGCGCTGGGCCGCGTGGCCGGCACGCGCGTGCTCCTCAAGCTCGACAACGCGCAGCCCTCGGGCTCCTTCAAGATCCGCGGCATCGGACACCTCTGCCAAGTGGTGAGCAGTCTTTGCTCCCTCCCTTCCTCCTTGCGTATGGCGGTGGTGGAGCTGAGTGGATATGTTTCTGTGTTCGTGTGTGGTGAGGAGGGTGAGGAGATGGCCTCTTGGGAGCAGCAAATCACAGTGAATATCTGAAATGCTGCCGGCGAATGATCGCAGCTCGGCAGGGGTTCATGTGAAAAAGAGCTTCATAGCTCATCGGATTTCTCCAACGTAAATAAAGATTCTGATTTTTGAGATGGGTGACCAGTAAAGGTAGCTCAGGGAGAATCTCTGATCCCCCCCCCATCACCCACGTGACGGTGCATGAATGACGCGTGCATTGCATGCGTTTTAGTTTTGTACGAATGCCTCTGACTTTTCTAAAGCTAAGCACGTTTGTGAACTATACGGACCAAAGTGCGCTATGTGCTGATGAAGATGGGGTGGTTTTCATTCCCAGGAACTTGACCTTGCATCGTTTCTTCGGTGAAAAATGTCTACTTGCCATCGCGACACGTTATTTTATTCGTGCATGTGAGATTCATCACGAGCCGTTAGCCATCCCCTGCAAGATGATGCCGTCACAACGTTTTAGTCTGACAATGTGACGATCCTTCCAGTGCGTGCGCCAATTTCATCATGGTGGGCGTCCTGTCGGAAGCGGTTTTGGCTGCCATTTTGTCATTGAACTCGATCACTGCCCATCGTCCTTTGGGTGTCTCTGCATTTTGTAAATGTGTTCCATGCCATCCAGCTGAATACATGTCTTGTGAGTGATGACATTGGGGGGGAGGAAGGAGTTTATTTTCTGCTTTGTTTTTGCAAATATTCCGATGTCTCTCAAACTAACTCCCCCCCCCCCCCCGTCTCATTTCAGTCGGCACGGAGAGGATGTCAGCGATTCGTTTGCTCCTCCGGTGAGAACCTTTTGTATTTTTTATTTACGTGTGGTTATATGCATGCACATTCAGTATCGATAGATAATCCAATGCGTCGTTATACCCCTGGTATAAGCATGAATCGTTTACAAGCGCCGGCATTCCTGACCGTGATGTCGGTTTCTTCCGCCCCCCCCCCTCCTCCACCACTCTGACCTCCTCCGGGTGCTCAGGCGGGAACGCCGGCCTGGCCGCCGCTTACTCTGCGCGGATGCTGGGCGTGCCGGCCACCATCTACGTCCCCACCACCACCCCGAACTTCACGGTGGAGCGCTTGCGCGACGAGGGGGCCACCGTCAACATTCACGGACAGGTGAGGCCTGAGTGGCGACGCAACTGCTTCGCATACGCTTAGGCTTTTTTGGTTAAATCGCGTAGGAAAAAAATCTACAATTAAAATAAAATTATAGAATTAATTTTCTTTTTATAATAATTTTATTTAATTTTTTACCTACGTGACTTTACCGAAAAGTCTAAGAGTATGACCTCTAAGACTGAGCGGCAGGTAATTGGAATTATTTTGTCTCCAGGTATCGCACTGTAAAATAATCTCCGTAGTTCACGTTGGGGCTCGCACATGGATAGAAATACGGGGGCACCTGCCTAGCGAACTAGCTACTACTAAATCTAGCTACCTATCTACCTGCATATCTGTGTGTGTGTGTGTAAACAAGCCAGTCGGGGCACGTGGGTCATGAATTTTCTTTGGTTGTCAAGAGCGTTGTTTCTTTTTAATGGGATAGTTATTTTTCAGCTGGAGGCAGTGGCTTTGCGCTCAGGCTTAAGCCAAGGTAGGGATGTGGCTCGCTCGCGCGCTGACTGCTCTCCCGCTTGCCGTCTTGCCAGATGCTGGACGATACGATTGAGTACGCGATGGAGGTGGCCAAAGCCAACAACTGGGTCTACATTCCCCCATTTGACAACCCTCTCATTTGGTGAGTTCTGTTGTTCACAAGATTGTGTTGGGTTTCATGCGTGTGTACAAAAGGTTGTATTGTAGTGTCGCGTACACAATAGTTTTACGCCCTTTCATGTTCGTGTATATTTATTTTATCTGCATTGAGCTATTATCATATTCGTAAAGAGGATACGGTACTTAATTTGGAAGGTATACATTATTATCTGATGGATTTTAAAGAACTTTAAATTTTGTTAACTAAATGGGCAACCTGGATAATCGGTTAACTTACTTTTTACCCACATCACAAATTGATCTGCATCACACATTAGCGTGCATTTCATAACCTTTCTATTTGCCCTCCACCCCCCCCCCCCCCCCCCCCCCCGGTGTGTATGCATACAACAGGGAGGGCCACGCGAGCCTGGTGCACGAGCTGAAGGCCTCCATGCACTCCAAGCCGGGTGCCATCGCCCTGTCTGTGGGTGGTGGAGGCCTCATGTGTGGCGTGGTGCAGGGCCTGAGGGAGGTGGGCTGGGAGGATGTCCCCATCATCGCCATGGAGACGCGAGGGGCCGACAGCCTCAACGCCGCGCTTCAGGCTGGGAAGCTCGTCACACTACCCAGCATCACCAGGTGAGGGCCTGGTCACTTAGGCCGGGGTGAAGCCTTTTTGCTTGGGCCAGGGTGAGGTCCATTTTCTTTTCACTGCTTACTACGCGACTTTCCCAACTGAGGCTACCATGGCTAAGTATAAAGTTGTGACCTGCTTCCTCGCTGTGTAAAGTGGCAGGCTCAATGGCGTTGGAGCTCCATTGAAGCAGTGGCCACCCATTGCTTCAAGTACACGATAAATTAACCCAATCTTGTTAGATATTGGAACCTAAGCAGAGATGAGTTTTGTTTCGTATTTGAACGGGAGACTGCCTGGGAATACCACGTTTATCGGCTTGGGCTGCAACGTGGCCAGGAGATGGCACTACAGTAATGGATTCTTGAACCTATCTGTGTGGCACTTTTACATAAATGTAGTTCCTTACACGAGTGGGTTTCTCTGGGTACTCGGGTGTCATTGTGAATAGAATTGGCAAAAATTCCCAATGTAAGGTCCTGCTGGCATGGTGTTTTACAGGCGACCACGGAATGTGACATTTTTGTCTTTGTTGTTTACAGCGTAGCGAAAAGTTTGGGCGCCAAAAGGGTTGGCGCCTACTCGTTCAAGGTGGCCAATGAACACCCGGTCTTCTCAGAGGTCATCTCTGACCAGGAGGCTGTGAAAGCCATGGAGAGGTTTTTGGGTGAGTTTGATGCACAGTCTTTTTGCTCGATCACCAACGGTGCGTGATAAATCCTTCAAAGCTGATGCCACCACCACCTTGGTCATGTGTAAAGCACTCTTGAGATGCCTTCACGGATATGAAGTGAGATTATAAATTTAAATAAATAGTGATTTTATCAAATTTTGACATCTGCAGACGATGAGAAGATCCTGGCGGAGCCGGCGTGCGGGGCGGCGATCGCGGCCGTTTACTCCAAGGTGATCCAGAAGCTGCAGGGGGAGGGCAAGCTGAGCTGGGACCTGCCCTCCGTGGTGGTGATAGTGTGCGGGGGCAGCAACATCACGCTCAAGCAGCTCTACCTCCTCAAGGAGCAGCTGGGCATGGACGACGACACGTCCTCGTGAGAGGCTGCGTCGCCTCGTTGAAAAGGGCCCGGAGTGGGGGTGGGCAGGAGCGTTAAATTGTCTTTGCTTGGACACGAGCAGGAGAGACACGAGCCTATAATGAGATTAAAAAGTGAGATGTGAATAGCAATAGTGTTTTTAAGTATTTTTTTGTAAGTTATATATGGGAATTATTTTTGTAGGGATAGAGTTTCAGTACGAAACGCTTTGCAGAGTCTACCGATTTGGACTTTTGTCTGTCGTTACTCAGAAGCTCGTTTGGGGGTTATTTCCTGTTGCGGGAAAAGTCAGAAATGAAAATCGGTAGGTATAGTGTTGAAGAGTGGGTTTTGTAATGTTATGTGGGGATTTGTTTTGCAGGGATAAAATTTTAATATAAAATCGATGCATATTGTCGACTGAAATTTAACTTTTTGCGTTAATTGCAACTAAGAAACGTGTCTCTTAATTCCCTGTCTTGGTCTTAGGGACTCTACCGCCATTCGTGTCCGCTGTTGTATTTGTATTTTTTTTTTTACCGACAGCCACCAAGCAGTCTCTGTTATTGCTTGCAATTGGAGGATGTCACGTTGGCCGTCGTACCAAATGGCATTCGGAGTTCGTCTCTGGGGTTTACGAATGTGCACCCGCATGTTGTTAAGAAGCCAACCTCAACTCAAAGGTTTTGTCAGCTGTGCTGACACAATCTCCGTTCACACACCGACAAATTCTCACTCATGTGAAACTGGTCGGGCGAGAGCAATAGTGCACAACGATGGAGCTGGAATGCTGCGAAGTTGGTGGGGCGTGGGTTGGAATTCTGTTGTCGTAGGTGAAGGTGTGGAGGGGCACCAAGTGGTGCATAGGTGTTCACCAAAGGCACTTTGGAACATTACAAATATATAACTTGTCGTTTCTGTTGTACATCCGGCCCAAAATATTTGAAGGCACATTCTACTGTACCGATATCTACATCATTTTAGTGTTCTTGAAATGTCGTTTTTAGTTATAATGCTGGATTTTATAATGAATATTTCGTAAACATTTTAAACACTGTATAGTAAAAGCAATATTTAATGTTTTGCTGTTACGTTTCGGTGCGTACTGTAATAAATTTGTTGAAAGGCCAGAAAATGTCGTTGTATTTGTAAGTAAAAAGTTTTGGGTATATCCTGTTGCTGGTGATGTCCACAATACAAATGGCATGAAAACAAATTGATAAAATAATTTCCATCTCCTCTTGGTTCTTTCGGTAAAGTCACGTAGAAGGGAAGTAATAAAATAATAATACATATTTTTATTATTTTATTACTTGCCTTCTACGTGACTTTACCAAAAGAAACAAGAGGATGAATACCTGCAGTCACGAAAGCTTTAAATCGAAATTTCCATCTCCTCGGATGCGCCGACCGGTCATTGTAACACACCCAATGGCAATGAATGTCCCAGACGAGGTCACGGGGTTCGGCTGTTTAAAACAAACATGGCTTTAACACGTTTGTCTGGAAGGCCAATAGGTCGATAATTTTTTTTTTGTTACTCCGAGAGAGACTAACTTTGTTTATTTTTTTTGCTTTACAAATCATGATGTTATCGAACCAACGCTTTGACCCCCAAGGCTGTTGAAGGGATAACACGCAAGTGCAATTCGTTTCTTTCCAACTGCTTTGTGTTTGTCCTTCCCACGCACCTTTTGATTAGCATGGTTGGCTACGTACGGTGCTAAAGAAGTTAGACATATATACAAGCGCAATCTTGAGTATTTCCAAAATGTCAGTAAAATGGAATGACTTGTCAACAAAATATACATGGGCACAAGGGCTTCATATCGGGGGGTCAAAATTCAGCCCACATCGGACGTGTGTTCAATTCCGCAGTGCTGTATCTGCGCCTTACTACATCGGAGAGGCATCCGTATTTTTTCTCTAAAGCGATTTAAGGTTAAGGTGGCCGAGGGGCTGCAGCATGTCAGTTTATGTGAACATTTCTTTGGAGTGGAGAAACAACGCCGAGAGCAAAACACGGCGGAGAGGCTGCTGGCGCTGGTGTGGGAGTTGGGGCTCGTCCTGCCCATCGCGGAAGGCATGGGGATCATGTCCTTGAAGGTGGCCCAGGAAACTCGGGGCCACGAGGCTCGCCAGCATTGGCCCAAGGTGGAGGCTTGGCCGTGGCGGGAGGAGGGACATGGTGGGTGCGGTGTGTCGCCGGGGGACATGCAGGTGGGGTTGGCAACCGGGGCAGCCCCCTCCACCCTGGGGACCCACGGCCGAGTGTTTGAAGTGTGGTCGGCCGGGCCACATCACCATAGAATGCCGGAGTGTCGATGCCCTCCGACCCGCCAGCAACGTCTTCCCGGGTCCCACAGGATCCGAGTCTCTGATGCTTTCTGAGACCGCCGTGTGCGAAGTGTCAGGGGCTGGATCCGGTTAGGTGCTGCTGGGGATTCCAGGGAGGGTCCGTGCCCTTTCGGACATTGTTGCGTTTTTATTTTCTCTCCATTCCTTGGAATCCCATGGAGTGCAAGAGCCTGCCGAGGCGGGGGTGACCGGTGTCAGGGACCCGGCGCACGTGAGCTACGCTCCGGTAAATACGGACTCTGCCGTCTACTGTGGGATTCGGGGAGGAGAAGGGTGTGTTGGGGGTCATGGCCAGTGTAAGGGGTTACGTTGTGAGTGTTGTTCGGGTTGCGTTCTCGGTGCTGTGTGGTTGCGCACACGCTGACTTGCTCGGTGGAGCTGTTGGTTGGTTTGCGGGGAGTGTTGCGACTTATGTTTGTGTGTTAATGATATTCCTCGGTTTTAGGGGTTTGCTCTGCCTGTCCACCCAGTTGTTGTATGTCAGCCGGCATGGCTGTTTTTTACAGGGTTGGGGGGGGGGGGGTGATGTAGTCTAATAGCGCCGAACAGTACACACGCGGGTGAGGATATATGTGTTGTGTGTGTCGGCAGGGCGGAGGAACTGGGGCAAGGGTCGTGGAAGACCCCATCTGGAAGCCCCTGGAACCTGCTCGTGGGTTCGAGAAGGGAGGTGCGGCCAGGGCGGAACCAGGCCACGCTGGGTAGCATAAAAGCAGCTGAGAGCGGGGAGCTCAGGGCTGCCGGTTCTGGGAGTGGACAAAACGGTGATTTCCTGCTTGAATGAGCATCGGTTCGCACGGTGGGATATGTACGGTGCGAAAGAAGTTCAACATACAGTACACAGAGTGGTATTCATTTTTCATATTCTTAGGTGTTTTCGGTAAAGTCACGTAGGTAAAACATTAAAATTAATAAAAGTAAAATAAAATAAAAAATAAAAATCACGACGTTTCGGAGGCAACACAAGTCTCCGTCTCTCCATTCCCAATCCCGTCGTGATTTTTATTTTTATTTTACTTTTATTAATTTTAATGTTTTACCTACGTGACTTTACCGAAAACACCTAAGAATATGAATCCTTGCAGTCACGAAAGCTTCAAATCTAGAATTGGTATTCATTTTACCGGCTCCGGTCACATGATGAGCTGAGTCTACTGCTGACCAATCTGGCTGGAAGAAAAAACAAAATCATAACAGCGTCACTGCCTAGAATTGGTATTCATTTTACCGGCTCCGGTCACATGATGAGCTGAGTCTACTGCTGACCAATCTGGCCGGAAGAAAAAACAAAATCATAACAGCGTAACTGCCTGGAGCGCAGCTTTAGGCGAATACCCTACGACTTGTAAGATCCATCCTAGAAGACATCATCAGCATCGGTCATTATCTATCCACTGCTGGATGAGTGCCTCCCCCCCCATGGTCCTGTGATGCTGCCGCAATCCATCATCGCTCCTGCTGATCTCACGGCTTGGCGTCCTCTCGGGCGCGATAGAATTCAGTCCACCGAGTTAAATGTGCACTAAAACATTCTCACGCCTATGGCAAAGTTTGCGTCGGGTTACGTGTTTACTTGTCGTTGAGAACGGATCTCTGGTTTCTGAGCGTTGATGTCATTTAATGACTTCGCTGTTTGCTATATGACAATTTGGCTTCATGATACGCAAGCCACTGCATGATACGTTTGAATGTTTAAAATGTAACGCGTTCATTTGCTGCATTCCTCTCTTCAAAAGGCATGTTTGGCTTCGACGACGATTTGTGGTCATTTTTACGAGGCTTTATTCTGTCACGGTCATTTATGCACCGTTAGCGACATGAGAGTTTCGGAATGGAAATGTGCGTCTCATAACCAGAGTCTGAATCAGAAAGAGTTTTATTCGCCATGAAAGTTCGCACAGACAAGGAATTTACTTTGGCCGGAAGGTGCATACATTCAACATATAGGAATCTTAAATCTTAAATAAGTGGTTTACAAGTCTAACTATACTAAAGGTACAAGTCTAACTAATACTAAGGAGCTAAAGTATGTAAACATTTTATAAAATCTAAAATATACAATAGCTATAATTTACAATATAAAATTACAAAAATGCAAATAGGGTAACATAGTGCAAATATGTCAGGGTGTCGTTGTGCAGATATTGTGTTAAAGTCAGATGACGCTGATCACGAATTGAGTAGAAGCCATTGTTTTGTTGAGAAGCAAAGTGGGTTTCATAATTTGGTACCAGACTGGCATCATTATTTCTGAGGATGAAACATTGCGATGTTCTCTGGAATGCGACTGCATTGCCAACTTTCATGAGTTCTCATGCAACCACAACTTACCGCCCTTTGTTTGTTTATTACGCGCTACAATCCACAGGCATAAAACCCACAACGTTTTCGTCATCGAGATACGATGTTTCACTGCACTTGCTATGCAAGATGCCCTTTGACCAGCTGCATGTCTCTTTGGGCAGGACTAAAATTAAGCTATCGGAGGTCTGACATGTTTTAATGAGGCATTAGATGTATTTACTTACGTAATAAAATAAATAATATCCCAAAAACAAGAGAATGGAAGGTTTCCACTTGCAGAGCAGATGGTAGACTGGACAGATGTGATGGCACGGGTCAGTCTACCGCAGGGGTCGGTAAATAAAACGTTCAATATTTCAGTGTACGAGACGTCCTTATTAATAAGTAACGTCACAAAACGGTCCTTAAAGGGCCGCAGGTTGCCCTGCTATTGGTGACCTTGTGCTGTCCCACCAAGTCCAGCTTCGAGAGGTTTCGCTGTACAGACTATGTTTGATTACGATCGTGTAAATAGGTTCAATGGATCTTAGTGAGCTAAAGCCACCTGCTATCTATTCCTTTGACCGATAGATCAAGCTTATCATGTTTGTAACATGTCACCGATTCGATCACCGTCACATTTGCTAAGGAAGATGGTACAACATCATTCATAATTATATTTTTAAAATGTATTAAAAGCCCTGGACACAGGCCCACAGAGGGTCTAAACTAGGCCTGGGATAATCCCCTCTGCCAACTTTGCAAACCTACTGCTCTCTCTACCCGAGTGAACTCAGATTATAAATAATCCTAGGCTGCGTTCAATGGACAGAGTGCGTTTCTGTGAAACGATCTGTTAGCCCAGAGCGCATCGTGCCAGGAGCTAACGGTCTGAGGAGCTGCCTCGCTAAGCGTTAGGTGGGTGCGTCAGATTGTTTCAAGATAGATGACAATGACTATTCTTTGGTTCTTTTCTTAAAGTCACGGAGAGAGAAAAATAATCAGACACATAAAGTGAATAAAAGTAATAAAAATGAAATAAACACTAATGTAGACTGTAGCCTGGTTCTTAATCGGAGTGAGTGTACTGGCAATCTCTAATGTGGACTGTAGCCTGGTTATTAAGTTTGGTGAGTGCACTGGCAGTCTATAATGTAGACTATAGCAATAGTTATAAAGCTAGGCGAGTGTACTGGCAGTCTATAATGTAGACTGTAGCCTGGTACTCAACCTCGGCGAGTGTACTGGCAGTCTATAATGTAGACTGTAGCTCGGTTCTCACTACCAATGCAGTGGGCATCCACGTGTGTTCCTTTCGCATGCCTCCATCGAGCAACAATTCACAATTTTCTCCGCCATTTTAAAAAGCGCTCTCCAAACACACCGTTCAATTAGAGTCAACGTCCGCCTCGTAACACCACGGCAGAGTGACCTGTCAATTAAACACACGCCAGGTTTGGCCCTAGGTCACTTCTCCTGGGAATTGTCGTGGTC